AAGCCGGACCAGCTTTAGGCTTTCGGCATTCCACAAATGCTGACTGTTTCCAAAAACAAAAAAAAAATTCTTCAGCAAAGCGTGGCCGCCTAGGGTGGCCAGATAGGGCGGTCGGCGGCGAGGGGCTGGCGAGGTCACCCGACCCCAGGCGGCTGTCGCCGCCTGGGTAGCGCGACCCCGTTGGTGCCTGGGCGGTCGCACAACCCCAAGCGACCGTCGCCTGAGGTCACGCGACCCAGGCGGTGACGGCCTGAGGTCGTGCGACCTCAGGCCTCCTCGGGTGACGGCCGTCAGCGCTAGATCTGGTTCATCGGCGGCTGTAGCCCTTCGCCGGAGCCAGCGAAGGGTACTTAGGCTCCGTTCGTTTGGCGGAAAATATTCTCTTTTTGGAAAATATTTTCCTGGAAGTCATTTTCCTGGAAAATGTTTTCCCGGAATATAATTTTCTGGTGTTCGGCGACCAATATGAAAAAGTTTCGGAAAATATTTTTCACCGCGACCGGGCTGCGACGTGGCGGCGACCGGGCGGCGGCGGCGGCGAACCGGCGGCGGCGGCGGGCGGCCGGCGATCGGCGGCCGGCCAACGGTGGTGACCGGCGATCAACTTCCTCTCCCACGGAAAATATTTTCCTTCCCATGGGCAATTTTGCCTTCAATTTGGGGAAAATGATTTCCTCTTTGCGAAAAGAGGAAATCATTTTCCTCAAAACAATGAAGGATTTGGGGGTGGGGAAGGAAAATGTTTTCCCACGGAAAACATTTTCCGCCCCCGAACACCGGAAAATGCGGAAAATATTTTCCGGAAAAATATTTTTCCGCAAACGAATACAGCCTAAAAAAAAAAAAAACCTCCCAAAGCCCATTTGTAAAAAGGAATTTACCAAACACAATTGCATTTCCCCAAGTGGCTTTCAAATAATTTTTTACCAAATACCACTTGCATTTCCCCAAGTGGCTTTTACTTAAAGGTATTTGCATTCCCCCAAGTAGTATTTGAAAAGCCGAACCAAACGGGCCCTAAATGTTCTCAAACAAATGCAATCGAGTGTTAATTGCTTCAAAATTCGTGAAATCAAGTCCTAATCTTGTCAGTATTGATGTATAATTGTCGAAAAATCGCTCAGTCCATTTAATTAAGCATGACTCTGATTTTGTATTCGTTAAAAGACAAAAGCGTCTTTGTTTTGCATAGATGGCATGTCATGATTAATAAGAATCAATCTCATCTTTATACAATTGGAGTCTTACAATTTGCTAAGAGAGCGAGGGTTAATCCCATAGAATAGACTTCAACGATACTGTTGAACTTTTGAATGGGTCAAAAAAGGCTCCTAGGTTCGGGACAAATCTAAGCCAACATCCCTTAACATTGTGAAAAATTGGGAATTTTCAGTTAATACCCTCAAAATTTTGCCCCTTTCTGTGATTATTGTGTATTTGTGAAGTTTTTTTTTCCCTAATTTTTTTTCTTCTAAAGGCAAGTAAGATATTTCTTAAAAAATCAGTTTCTTCTACTTGTGGTCTAATTATATCCATTGAATCACCCTAATTTTAATGAGTTACTTCCGAATCACCCCAATTCTAATGAGTTACTTCCGGCTATTACCAAAATAATATGCATCATCGCGAAAAAAGAGAGAAGAAGATCTATTCATAAAGTGAAAGGAAACTCTCTAACAGACTCTAATACCTAGTACAAAGGATCGTTTATTGATAGAAAAGGGCGCGTTTCTTTTCTATTACATCGGAATTTTTCCAACCTCCGATATTTAAGTATTTAGAACTTGCAACAATTCCAATATTAAAATTTCCCTTTGAGGAAATATTCCTCAAACTCAATTTGCTTTAGAGTAGGTTCTTTTAAATTCCTGAAATCACTCTTTATCTCCTTTAATAAAGTATATATTGAATTTGATAGAATCTTTAAAGGATCAATTACAAAATTTCATAACACAGTCGACAGTAGCTTCTTCATCAGGCTCATGTAGCATATGATAGCAAAGCACGCCCTCGGCCCCATCCGCGTCGCAACCTAAGACAGTCCAACAACTTGCTTCAATCTTCGACTCTCAAGCTCGTTGTCATATATGGGAAGAAAGAAGATGCAGGTCTCCATCTACACTTGACTATTTCTTAATGTTGTTCTTGTTGCACTTGACTTTCTCCGGACTAATTGATTTATCCTTTGGTCCAACTCTAGGTAAAGAGGAGGATCTAATGACCACGAGATGATGGTTGAAAGAAAGTGGTGGAAGGCTAGGAACTCATGGATATATGCAAGACCAATAAGACCTGGTTTTTCTTCGGACTATTAGTTCATAAGGATGGGTCAATGTAGGGTTAGTTTGTTGTGGAAAAATCAACTGTGAAAAATGAAATCAGATTATGAGGCGTGATAACACTGTCTTTAAGGAATTATTTGCCCTACAACGTTACTAGTATTTACTGGTAAAAATCCTCAAGGTACAACAAAGTCTCGGAATGAAATTACCAAATAGCAATTCTGGTATTTCTCCAAGAACTCTCAAATAGGAAACAATTGGAAAGAAGACTGTATATCTTTAGATAAAACGAAAATGGAAGTTTTTCTATTGAACGGAAACGTTGAGTAATTAATAGCAAAAAATATGTATAAACAGAGACAACCTTTTCAGGGTTATAAGAGAAAGACAACCTTTTCAGGGTTATAAGAGCACCTAATAACCGTTAGGCAAAAATAAAATTCGGAATTAAATAATAAAAAAATAACCGTATCTATTGATATGACACAAAGGTTATTAATATTCTACAACTATAAATCCGAATTTTAATAAATAAATAATAATAATAATTGATTAGTGCCAAATCTGTTCCATGTGCGTGTAAAGTACTAATCTCGCATCTGCATGCGGGTATAGTAAGGTCCAACCCACTAAGCCCATCGTTTTCATCTTTAATAATAGAAGACTTTCACACTTATATATTGGCTCACGCATACTCCCATATATTCTATATGTGATAAGGCACTTCGAAGTTTGTTCTTCCAACACCATTGAGGGAGCATCTTTGGTTAAAATATGTCTTGATAGAAGAGTGGGTTTGTTTAGGGTGGATTGCTTGGTTAAGGGTTTTTAGGCTGCTGACCATATCTAAAATCTGTACTCATCAAAACACTTGCTTGAGCCATGTTACAAATCTATGAAGGTGGCAATTCACACTTTCCTTCTTTTCTCCATTGTGTTTCATCGACTTTTACTATGATTAATCCGTTTAATATTGGACATGGTCTGTTTAAAGTTATGGTTTAGTGGTTTTTAGGGTCTGCTTAGGGTTTCAGGGGTTATTTAGAGTTTTTTTTTTGGGAAGGGGGATTATCAGGGTCTGCTTAAGGTTTTTGGATTCTTTAGTGTTTGGGGTTACAATGGTCTATTTAGGCTTTAGAAGTTTATTAAGGTTTAGGTGTTAAATTTTGGGTTTGAGGGTTAGGTTTTGGCTATTAAATTACAGTGCAATTGGTAATATATGGTCAGTCAAAAGCCATACGACTACTGAGCAAAGGCTATGTATAGCAATGCATTTGGCAAGTGAACTTGACTTGCATTCTGCATCTGGTAGAGGTGGTAAATGGGTCAATAACCCATTTATTACCCCATATATAATGATTGTGGATTATTAATGGGTTGGCTTTAGTTTAAGAGTAAACTTAAATGGGTCATTAATTGATTGGCCTATTAACTTAATGGGTATTAAATGGGTCACAAATGGGTTACCCAACTAGCTTAAGTGAATAATAAACATGTTATTGTCATTTTTTTTATTTTTCTATTTTTTTAATTTATTTTCCTTTTCTTTTTTTTTTTCTTTTTCTTTTTTTTTTCCTTCTTCCTCTGTCAGTGGCTAGCCACAGGTGAGGGACAAGCTTGTCGGAGGTCGGCTAGCTTCGCCGACCTCAGCGAGACTCGAGCTAGCCGGCCTCCGGCGAGCTCGTCCCTCGCCTGTGGTTGACCGTCGCCATGGCCAGCCACTGGCGGGGAAGAAGAAAAAAGAAAAAAAGAAAAGGAGAAAGGAAAGAAAAAGGAAAAGAAAAGAAAAATAATTAAAATATGATTTTTTTAAAATAAAAATTTAAAAAACACATTTTCATTTTCCTGAAAACATTTTCTAGAAATGTCATATTTTCTGCGAAACAAACAGAGTCTCAATTTTTTTAAAAAAAATATATGAAAATTGTTCACTAGATTTGTATTGCAATAAAATGTTTTAACAATATAATTTTTTAAAATAATTATCAGAAATAAGCTTTCCTATATTTAGTTAAATGGGTCGGGTCGGGTATGAGTTGGGTATATGTCAAGAAATTTGCTTTGCAATAAATGGATCATAATCGGGTTAAATGGGTCACGTTGAGTTAGACCATCTATGACCCGACCCAAACCCGATCCGATTCACCCGTTTAACAGGTCTACCCTTACCCAACACTGTGCATTTGACCAGGGGTCTGCATAGTAACGTTTCTGTTCCTAGAAACAATTTCTAAACAGAAATAGTTTTTTCTATTTCTATTTCTTGGAACAGTTTCTGAGAAAAAAATAGCGTTTAGTAACTGCACAAAATTTCTGTTCCTGGAATAGAAAAAGAATAGAAACGCGTTTAGTAACTGCACAAAATTTCTATTCCCGAAAAAAAAAATTATTCTTAATTTTTTCATATGATTATTTGCTTAAAGTTTTTTAAGAAGATAACTTCTTTGGTATTTTTTAATCACTTCAACATTCATAAACTCATGATTTTTACGTTTTAAAAAAAAACACTTTTATGTGGTCATTATGAGAGTGGCATGGCCTAAAAAATAAATCATAACATATATGATATAAAATCGGATGACCTTAATACGATTAACAAAAATGTATCCATAATAGTTTACAAATACATTACAAAAGTCATGGATGACCTTAATACGATTAACATAAATGTATTCATAATAGTTTACAACAAACATTACAGAAGTCGAAAATACAAAGTCATGGAATCTCATCCATATTATGATCCCTTGCCATTTTATTTGCAATATGTTTTCTAATCACGTTTATCTCAGCTACCCCCGTAAGTGATGTATCGTCTGCAACCTCCATTTGTGTAGGTCCGAACGGGTACTCCGGATCTCCATAATGGGAAAAGTTTTTGTCCATCTTGTCTTCCTCACGAATGTAATTATGGAGAGCACAACAAGCAATTACAATAAGTGCTTGCTTTCGAATTGAAAATGGAGGCATGTGTCTCAAAATGAAAAAGCGATTCTTTAATGCTCCAAATGACCTCTCAATGACATTCCTAAGTGAAGAGTGCCTATGATTGAACAATTCTTTCGCTATTCTGGGCCGTCTCCCTCTACCCCTATAATCGTTCAAATGATACCGTTCACCTTTAAACGGAGTTAAAAATCCTGGAAGTGCTGCATAACCAGAATCTACCACATAATATTTGCCTATAAGAAGGTATAAATAAATTTGTTATGATATGCAACAGTTATACAATCATAAAGAAAAATATATCTTGTAGACAACGAAAATACCGAGTGGTGGTCGAGGAAATTGCAATCGAGGAGTCTCGAGTGCTGCTGAGAGCACCCGACAATCATTGGCAGATCCTTCCCACCCAGCATACACGAAAGTAAATTTCATATCAAACGAACAAGCACACATCACATTCTGTGTGGTACTTCCTTTCCTACCTCTATATGGGATTTGCTGCGATATAGGGATGGAAGCATTAATGTGGGTGCCATCAATAGCACCTACGCAGTCCTGAGATTTTATGAAAGTCTAGTGTTACACATGATTATCAACTACATGTATTTGATTGTGTATAATCAATATGAAAATCATACCTTGAAGTAGCGTTTATGGTTAGGATCCATAAGAATCTCCTCTGGGACAACATCAAAGGAAGATGGTTTGATAATTTCTTTTGACAGTTCAATAACTGCTTTCAACACTATATTAAAATACTTGCTTATTGTTGCTCCTGAACGTTGGAATCTTTCACATAAATCTCTATTGGAGTTTTTGTGACCAACCAAAGATAAAAATATCCCAACTTGTTCATCTACCCTTATATATCGACTATCTTTCAACAAACCTCTTGCGCTCATTAAACCACATAGGTTCAGAAAAATATGTCTCTCCATCCTGAAGGCTTCATATATCCTATCTGAATGTCCATAAATAATCTCCCTTACCCATTCGGGTCCTGACAATTTACTATCCCTAATAGGTTCTTTGGTATGAACAGACATGTCCAATTCAAGAATATTCAACCATACTATCATTACGTCAATATCAATGTCATCCAAAACCTGTTTAACTTGTGCTACCTGCCCACTGGACACACTATTTTGTCCCCCTTCCATAGTACCTATGCCATAACACAAATACAAGAACATCAATATAGATATACGAAAAAAATACCCAATAACAACAAATAACATAAGTTCAACAAATAACTTAAGTCATAAAGTGAAACAAACCAAATATAAAAATTCCATTCAATCCATCGTACCCAAGTCACCACACATGCAATAGTCTGAACATCAATATCTTAAAAAACCAAATAACAACCAACAACATTAGTCATACAGTCAATGAAACCCCACGCAATCCACAGTACATTTCCTAACATCTACTAAAGACATTGGAGAAGTCCATGTCTCCTTTCAACTGGTGATATGATGAAAGCCTCCCTCCATGCGGGACTAACGCAAGCTCGTTCCACTGCCTTGTTGTAAAGATTCTGCTCTAACTCGGGCATGCTTACCAGGACTCCAATCACAGCAGCTATAGAGTAGGGGTCTACAGGTGGTGATGCAACCTGTGAGGTGATAGAGCCGGTCACAGATTGACTTGCCCTAGTTTTGATCAAATCTTGTAAGGCTTTGCAGGTGCTACCAATAATAGAAGAGTGACTCTGTTTTCTCCTCTTGGTATTTGGAGTTCTATCCAACTTGTGCTTATCATGAACTGGAGTAGCAGTTTTGTCAGATGTAAAGACTCCCTCATCAACATGGTGTTCACTCACATCCTCTCAACTTAAGTCTGCATGACCACCATTTGTGTCACCTTCGTCCGACACCATCAAATCTTCAGCATTTCCCACTGCATGCTCTCCAGTAGCATATGTATCAGCAAATACAATACACAAGTCAGGATACTGAGGAAACCCATCTTTTTTGAATTTTACCCACTCACTATTATCCTGCAATTTTCACAATGATGATATACGTCAGTAAGACAATGAAACCTCTTGCCATGTACATGTACATTGATCTCAAAATGACCAAAGATTAAATGATACCTTCACATGACATTCCCATATACTTGGATCATCAACAACAACTGTTTTGTTGACATTATCCCAGCCAAATCCAGATTGTGAAAGAAGCTTCTTAAAACTACCATATTGTTTTCTCAGTTTGTTCACCTTATTCTTCAACTGCACTTGATTATATTGGAGTCTTGACCGTTTATTGAATTCAGTCCGTATGTTAGTCCACCCAGCTTTGTTGTAAGTAGAAGAGGTGCGATTTCCCTTTTTGACCTCTACTACCAACAAACTGACATACAAGTTGGTTAAAGACTCCGTCCACTTTGCGTTGAATGCCTCTTTCTGGGATGCCATTTAACCTTCACTAGTTGAACATCATATGAGTTCATGATAATCATATAGATGGAAAACCACTTTCTGCGTTGTCGAGAGATTAGGAAATCATACAGCCAAATACTCTAACCGGTCTAGCTACTCATAAAAAAGACTAGAAATTTAAAAAAGCCTAAAACAATATTCCAAGTCAAGAGATTATAAAGTCCAATTTGATTCCACAAGCATGAATACAACCTAGCATCAATAAATAATTGAATATGTGAATTGATATGTAAACACCTTAAACAAACCTTTGCAAGCCTATACTAACAGCGAAACAACAGCTGTCCACTACTCTTTTTTAGTATGACACTGAGACCTCACGATCCTGATGATCAAAACAGAGAATACACACGATTGACTAATGTGTATGAATTCGGCCATACAAGGGCAGAGAAACAATTTCGCGATTTGAATCTCTTCTGAGGGACACTCATTTGGCACGTGAGATTGAAAGAATCCCATGTAAATATAAAAGGAAACGAATGAGTTGCAATGGAACTCGACAGAATTTACGGGAGGAATCTTGCAATGAAGCCTGTGCTGAGTATCCTCTGCAGATTTTGTCCGTTGAGGAGCACGTAAAGACACAAAAAATAAGAAAGAACGAAAAGAACGGCTTCCCTGTTTCTAACGTTTTTTTCTTCTTTTCTATCCAATCCCTCCAATAAATACCTATCATCTACTTAATGAAACTAATTTACTATCAAGCTATTGTCCTTCTGCGACGAAGAACCGCGACAAAGCAAGACTAAGAAGAGAACTTGGAAGGCTGCTTTGTGGACAAAGAGCGGTTGGTCGATAACTCCAACTAATTGATAGCATAATGTAATCAACGCTACAGCATCAATCGACGCTACGGTTTCAAATTTACAAACAATAAGAGCAAATCCATATGCAGAATGCAGCCATTCAACTTCAAGAAGTGAGAATCAAACTAAAGAATGTACAACCACAAGGAATCGAAGCGAAAAACCTGGATTCGACTGAGAGAAGCAACCGAGAGAGAGGCGAGCACGATTGGAGCAATCGACAGCCGAGCGAAGAAAGGGCGACTGGAGAGAGGCGACCAAAGAGAGGCGACACGACTGGACAGGGCGACCGAACTGATGCGACCGCCGGAGGCGAGTTGTGTGTAGATCTGGACTGGACGAGAGGCGACAAAGGTAACGCCACCGAAGAGAGAAGACGGGACGGAGGCGACAACACCGGAGAGAGGCGACCGGACAGAGGCAACACAACCAAAAAGAACCGACCGGACGGAGGTGACGCCACCAGAGAGGGACGGCGGGACAGAGGCAATGCTTTGGAGGTGGTGAGCTGGGAGGAAGAGCACTGCGTTGGAAAGACGAAGTGAGAAAAAGATAGGGTTCAGAAAAAAAATGTTTCTTTTTTCTTGTTCCGAAATCAGGAAGCAAATTTTTTTTGCTTCTTATTTCTGTTCCAAATCTATTTTTGGAACACTTTTTTGTTCCAGAAACAAAAAAATAGATTTTTTTGTCTAAACGGATTTCTGTTCCGGGGAAAAAAAAACCAGAAAAACAAAGAAACAGAAACGTTACTAAACAGACCCTACGCAGCTTTTGCACTTTGCCTTTGGAATAGTATTGTTCAGATCTGCACTTGGCTTTGCACCAAATGCATTTCTGGCCAAACAGGACGACAGCAGGCTGTATATGACCAAAATAGGATGGCGGCGGCGGCATCAAGCAAGATAGGTCGAAATTCATCATCAAACACTTGAATTCATTAACCTAAAATATTCGCATTATTAAAATGGAGCATACAACACATATGAACTCATCTGCTCACAAAAAGTAATAACCACAAGTTAGTTCAAAACCATGTTAATCAAAATAATGATCACAGCCAAGCCCAGAACTGGACTTACGCATGCTAGCATACCAACATTCTATCACCAAAAAATGCGAACATTTTTGCCCCAAATTAATTTTTTGACATCTAAAATTTCCAAACTAGTACACCTATGACAATTTTACCCTCTGTCAGTTTCCGTTAAATTTTACTATCGAATTTTTAAGTTGGATGTCACGTAACTGTTGAATGGAGTATCCAGTTTGGGCTTTTACCCTCCGTTTATCATAGATGTACCGGTTTGTGATTTTCGTGATATTAATCCAATTTAACGGAGGGTAAATTTGTCACAAATGCACCGGTTTAGGGTTTTTTGTGGTCAAAAAATTAATTTAGGGTAAATTTGTCGCATGCATATTAGTTTGAGATTTTCGATAATAAAAAATTTAATTTAAAATAAATTTATTACGAGTGTATCGATTTAGAGGTTTAGATGATTTTAACCCCCTTTTAATATACTATTTTTCTGGTATGCGATTTCGGAGTTGTCCCAGTGACATGACGTCAAAGCATGGCGGGAGAAATCAGAATGGGGATAGCCCGAAACGACCTATCGAAGCGTTGCAGGTGCGGCACAGCAGTGCACACCTTGTGGGGACCTCGGGCAGCCACGAAGGTCGTCCCGGCCCTCCACGTGGCGCGTCGGTTCACCCCACGGCCTCCACCTTTCACGTCCAGAGAACAGAGGAGAATGGGGGATCTCCACCACCACCACCGCCACCGCCCAATGGTCAAAGGTTGAAAACGCCATAAGTCCTTTTGCATTGCATGGGCATGGGGTACTCGAGAGACAATTACAGATGGAAAAATGAGCTCCGGGGACAAATGAGAACGTGTCGCGTCTTTAAATTCATCAACTTACGAAACCTTAGACCGATTTGGTATATCTAGTTCTAAATTCATTCGGGTGATTCGTACGTCTTGTCAAATCCCTGCTCACGCGATGTCAAGATGGAAAATTAACCGTCTTTAATCTTCACACCCATAACGCGACGGATCTTCTATTTCCATAAATGTCAGGTGCTCCTTATAGTGTCTCGATTAATCTCTGTTGAATCGGGATCGTCACCGGATCATTGAAAGATTTATCGAAACATCGAGGGAAGCAGATAATGGTCACTTGAGGGTAGCAAAGCGTGAGTTTAACCCATGGGATGGACTAAGTTCACGTCCCACTTTAGGGCATACACAAGCCACGCACTTGCAGAACTCACCACTGGCTACCTCCTCGTGGCGTCCCCATCCACCCTCCATCTGTTCCTCCCTCCCCCTCCTCCACCGTCCATCTATCTCTCTCTCTCTTCAAAACCACAGGCTCCTTCTCCTTTAAATCTGCTGCAGAACCTCTCTCTCTGTATCTCACTCTTTTGTTGTTGTTATTCAATGAGGACCCAAGCGGAGGAGAAGTTCTCGGACTACTTCGAGAAGTGGGTGTGTCGGCTCGAGGAGTACTGTCACCAGCTCCACAGCGCGTCCAGGGAGACCTCCATCACCGAGCAGGAGCTCCGGGCCCTCGTCTCCAAGCTCACGGCCCACCACAAGGAGTACTACACCGCGAAGTGGGCGGCGGCGGCGGCTGCGGTGGGGGGCGGCGGCGACGACTTCTTCGCCTTCTTCTCGCCGCCGTGGTCGAGCCCGCTCGAGAACGCCTACTCCTGGCTCACCGGGTGGAAGCCCTCCACGGCGTTCCGCGTCCTCGAGGCGCTGCGGGCGCAGGGGGGCACCTTCGTGGCGGAGGACCAGATGAAGAGGCTCGAGCAGCTGAGGGCCAAGATCAGGCTCGAGGAGGAGAGGGTGGAGCGGGTGATGGAGCGGCAGCAGGTCGGGGTGGCGGAGCGCAGGATGGTCGAGCTCGCACGGCTCGCCGGCCGCCGGGGCGAGGCTGCGGTAACCGCAGCAGCTGGGGGCCAAGTGGACGTGCTCGTCGACGCGGCGATAAAGGGCCTGGCGACCGGGCTGGAGCGGATCATGAAGGCCGCCGACTGCGTGCGGCTCAAGACGCTGAAGGGGGTGCTGGACGAGCTGAGCCCGGCGCAGTCCGTGGAGTTCCTGGCGGCGATCTCGGCTCTCCAGGTGCAGCTGCGGCGGTGGGGGAAGAGGCGGCAGAGCCAAGTCGAGCACAGGTCGAGGGAGACTGCTAGCAGCTCGAGAAAGAGACGAGCTTTGTAAGATATCATCAAGTGACGTTTCAAAGCTCGGTTCAGAGGCGGCAGATTACTTTGACTTTTGGTGTTTTGGATTTCGTAGGCAGCTTCGTAGGCGTGACATTATCTTTCCTTTTCTTTTGTAAATCCGGTTTTGCTCAGTTTTAGTGTGGTTTGCTTACATAAATTTCGTTCGAGCTTTCTATGTCGAAGCCTTTGTCTCGACCATCTCGAAATTTCGAAGCAGCCAGAGAAAGGAACACTTATTGGACACGAAATTACTCATGCATGTAGAGCCGTTAAATGGGTGGGGTTGAGCCGGGTGATCGGGTGAAAAATGATTTTGCTCAAATTGGCTCATTTAACTCGTTGACCTATTTCGATATAACATAAATCTAGCGACCCATACCCGATCTAAAACTCTTCGATATTTAATTCAATTAAGAGAAATTCATACTCAAACTGAGATGGGACCAAGAGTGAACGAGTTCGAGATCAAGTGACGGCGAGAGACAGTGAACAGAGAGTTATAGAGATGGGTTGGATTTTAATGAGTTGTGGATTAATTTTAAATTCATTTATTACCCATTTACTAAATGTAATTAATCCATATAATAAATCAACCCATTAAATATGAGTCAAAAAATGAGTATATAACTTATTTTGAAAGGTTTACGATCTATTTTGATAAGTCTATTTACGCACAAAGAAATAAAAATTTGTATTCCCTTAATCTATAAATCAACTTTGATTCCTTAATTACCAAGTTAATATCATGCTTAAAACGAGACAGGACATGCATGTTGTCCCTGTCGAATATCTAAATTCGATCATATCAACGATGCAAGAAAAGTAATGGAAATTCGCACAACACAAGAATTTACGTGGTTCAGCAGGGGATATATTCCGCCTAACTACGTCCGCGAGGAGATGAGATATGTTTTACTAATAACGTAGAAAAGTGTACAGCCTTTCTTTCTCATTCCTTCCTGTCTCTCTAGAGACCTGTTTCGCCCTAAATATATATAGCGAAACCCTACATGGCACAAATTACAAAATTGCCCACATAGCCTAAAATATTTAACTTTCCCATAGAGATCCTTCTATGACTGAACATAAAATGCCTCTGGCGGCCCGGGGGCGCTGCCCCCGCGAACCCCACCGAGGCGGCCCCCCGGACCCCCACCCGCTCACCGGGGAGCGGGAATCCCGTGCTGTCCAGTCGTCAAGGGGCATTTCAGAATCGCCTCATAATCTCTTGGATAACATAATACAAGACATTAACTTCAACAGTCCCAAGGCATGAGATTGTATTTTGTCTTTTCCTTTTTTTTTTCCACGGTGAGTGAAATAAATTAACATGTGAATTTTTATGGGGAAAAGAGGAAGTTGGATTCACTGTGGTACGGATGCAAACTGCAAACTGGCTGACTTCAGCAGCCGTGTGTAAGTCATGCACGGTTCTCGTGGAGGGAATGGCTTTTGAGGAAAAAGAGGTAAAAGACTTCATAGACTGAGCTCTCTATACTTTCAATTTTGTTAGGAGCTCAAGCATTTCATTATTACACATTTACTGGTTTTAACCATATGTATATATATACACACACCAATCATTAAGTTGGGAAAATGACATTTAGGGTAAAGCTCCATGGCTATATTATTGATTGACGTGGCACGACCCATATGAAATTAAACATGTTCGAAGGGTCAAATTTTATTTACATGGGAACAATATGAACACAACCGATCCATTAATTGTGTCTAATAGGATGATATGGTTATGAAATCGGTCAATTTTTATAATCCTAAGCCCACTAATCTCGAGGCCAAATCAAAATTTAGGGAGAGGGAGGGAAGGGACAGGGATGAACCATAGTGATATGATAAAAATGAATCGGCTAATGGATATATTAGGTGTGTAGCTGTGATATAGAATGCTTTGGAAGCGTTTGGTAAAAAGCTTATAGCTGCAGCTTCTTCGCAATTTCAATAGTTCCACAACTGCTTCCACAAAATTGCTTCTAGTAGAGTTGAGGTATTGTAACTTTTAAACCTTTTATGCGAGAATTATAATAATTTTTTTAGGAATTTGAAAAAATAAAAGATAACATTATCACAATAAGTTTCCTAAGATAATTAAAAAGCATAATAATTATGACATATAAAATAATAATATCAATAATAATATTTAAAGAAAAGAGGTCGTATAGATGTTATAGTCATCAATAGATGACAATGATGGTAATTATTATTGTTGTTATGCTATTATGGTAAAAATGGTATATGCCAAAAACTTCAATTACAAGCACAAAAAATATAGAATAATGTTATAGGCCTTTTTTCGTAATTTTGATAGCCATAATAACATAACAGCTTTTTATCAAACTGATAACTCTATAAAAATAGAGTTATTTTATCTACTCTAGGCAATAAATAATGCAATATTTGTTAGAATATATTTGGATTTCCTTTTATTTACTTAATTTTTCCTTGTTTATGCAGAATATTGAGATATGGAGAAAATAAGGAAAATATGGCAAAAAGAAGGAAAGGAATATGCAATCCAGAGAAGAGTTAGAAGGTGGATATCACATTGGGAATTCTGCGATTTATTCCCTAATTTTATACGAAAAAGAAGCAATTGTCTTGTGAGAAGAGTCTTGGATGTTATCATATAAATAGGATAACTTGGGGGAACATGGAGTTTTTTTCTTTTAGATCGTTTTTGTTTTCAGTGTTCTGAGAGTTTTTCAAGTATTTTGAAGAGAAGACAAAAGTGGTGACAGAATTCTTGTTCTTTGATTCAAGATGTTCGGTTTAATTTATATTTTCGTTTTTTCTTCTATTATGTTCTAATTTTCTTTGTTAGAGCTACGATGTAGCCTAACCATGATGATATGAATTTCATACTTTTTATGCTTTGCAAGTAATTTCATTCATGTGAGTTATATATTATTGTGCTTAATGTGTTTAGGTGACTGGCCACCACTTGAATGATCTGATGTGCATATTTGAGACTGAGAAGTGATAATATGTAATTGCTCCTTATAATATATAACCATGATTTAAATGTGGATAGAAATATACCATGTTATTTGTGTAGCTTTCGGTGATAAGGTGGTCCAAAAGATTCATTGTAAATCGGGAATATTCACAGATTTTAATGCGCTTATGTTTATTTAAATTCACATAGAAATATAGTGAATTGATAAACTGAGTAGGTTTGCTATACCTAGAGATAGGATAGTAAATAGACTAGGAAATTCCGCTATCACATGTTTGATATTGTTCTTGTATGCATAATGATCCGAAATTCATATATAGTGGTTATGGTGAAATCGGATGCTCTAACATATTTTACCTGATTGATTATCTGCCTTTAGTTTATAAAATTTCGTTTTTAAAAATTGTCAATTTTTATTTGTTCTCAATTATATTTTGATCAGTTAGATAAATTTTAGAATTAGTCCACTTTTAATATTTAATTGGTTTATTATCATCAATCTCTGTGGGACGATACTCTTCTCATCATTATATTACTTGTTCAACACGTTCGTTGACACGTACAGAATTTTACGAGCACAAACGCATTGATAATTTGTAGCTAGAGCACAACACAACATGAATAGCCTAGCTGCAACAATACCAAACGGGTCCTACATCTTATTTAGAGAACAATCTTATATATAAAAGGGTTAATACTACAAAAAATCATAAACTGGTACATTTATGATAAATTTACTCTATTTTAGTTTCCGTTAAATTTTATTGTCAAAATGCCGAATTAGACGACACTTGACAGTTGATAGATATACTGGTTTGGGGTTTTAACCTCCGTTTATCACGGGTGTACTAGTTTGTGATTTTTCGTTGTTTTAATCTAATTTAACGGAAACTTAAGGATGGTAAAATTGTCACAAATATATTAGTTTGGGGTTTTTTATGGTCAAAATATTGGTTTGGGGTATATTTGTTGCATGTGTAATAATTTGGGATTTTTTATGGTAAAAAAATTACTTTTGAATGAATTTGTCACGGGTGTACCAGTTTGGGATTTTTCGTGGTATTAACCTTATATAAAAATCATATGAACGGTTGGTTTGCTAAAAAATAAATAACCGAATCAATACAAGACATAACCTCATCCACGATCGAGTGGTTGTAGAGCAGTTTAGCACTTTGTTTATACGAATTGACATGTTAAAAACATGTACCAAAAAATAAAAAAATTAATACGAACTTAAAATATATCAAAAGTTACATTTTAAAATAATACGACTTGTCATGATTAAACGAAGGAAAATGACAAGCTGACTGCACCGTTACTTTCGGCATCACTCATTTTCTCAAGGAAACCGAATGACTAGCTTGTCTTGTACTAATGTACTAAAAAACACATAATGTGTTGCTTTTACATTCTTTTTTTGTTCGGGTGAAGCATTTGTTGCTTTTGTTAGCATCTTTTTTTTTTTTTGGACGGACCTTTGTTAGTGTCCATCATGGAGTTTTTTGTTGTTGTGTATGTTGATGTAAAAAAATAATAATAATAAGAGACCTGCAAGTCTATAATATATATTGTTCGTGTCGCATATGTTTTCTTTCCTTCTTCTGTGTATTATTATATACCATTAATTTTTTATTTGGGAGTTAAAATTTGCTTTTCAAATTTGCTACGTGGACTTGAAGCCGTGCCATATGAAATTTATTTTATATCAATATTAAGTTATTGAATTAAACAAAATCGTTCATTTCCCTCTTTTATAAAATGCATGCAATCTTCTACTAATTAAGCTAAATTATTAATTAATCAATGTACGGTAGCCTGTTACTTTTGAAGTGACACTAGAGGCTCAAACTGCACCGTTAGTTTGAAGCACTTACGGCTCCGTCGTTCTAGGGAGTAACGGAGACCTCCCAGCCACACATCCCACGTCATGGGATTTTGGCAATCTAGTCCAATTGAAATGTTTAGGGCTAAATTAGTACAAATACAATAGATTTAATAATTTTTTGATACTTTTCCCTGATCATATTTAAGTAGGATGCGTTTGAGATCCCTATTTAGAATTCCAACTCAAATTTGGAGCCGGCTCGATTTTCATAAAGGATTCACCAGTTTCGAGTTTGAAATAGGGTCGGGCCTCCCAAATCCACCACGTTGCAGTCACTATCCAAGATAAATTAGTAAAAGATTGGAGGCATTTTACGCTAGAGGGAAATGAATAAATTACT